GTCATATAACAAACTTGAAACAAACTATATTTCAGGAATAACCTGAGGGACAAAATATTGTATATGATACAGCTCACACTCCACTGCATTTATTGGTTAAAATATTAAAATGATCATATCAAGAGTGCAACCATGTGAGCAGATGTTTCACTCAGCCGATACTCAAACTTTATATTTACTAGAGTTTGTTGCTTTGAAACTGACTGATTTCCTTTTCATGAGTATTTATCTGTCCATCCTCACAGATCACAGTTATGATTCACAAGATGCTGATGAACTGGAGGATCAATCTAATTTATTACAGCACAGCGTGATGAGTTTAGGGTAAATGCAGGTAACTAATCTGAAAACAGACTCAACCACAGGTCAGTCAGTTAAAGTCCTGCCTGAAGACTTTAATGAGTCTTATTATGAAATTTTACTCTCAGTTATTTATAGTGTCATGGTGTGCTGTCTGCCTCAGTGTCCTCTTGAAAAAAACCTCTGAAAGTTGTTAAAGTCATAAATGAATAAGACTTCACATACACAAGAGTAACAAGTGAAACAAACTGGACAAAGTGCCGTCGATATAGATTTATTAATTTGTCACTGTCATGGTCTTTCATCATTTTAGTCTGAGAGCTTCTTCCTCATCTTTGTTTAGCTTTTTAAAAAAATATTTCCTCTTTAATTTGAAGGTTTGGTTTCTTTCATATATAAATAGTCCTGCTGTGTCATGTCAGTCTTTGTCAGAGCATCTGTGAACACTCATGTGTGTTCATCTCTTAGTTGTTTCTATTGACAGTTTATTTATTTCTAGTTTTTACGTTTTGATTCTTTGTATGTTTCCATTTTTAGACTATTTAGGTATTAAAGTTCAGTTTTATTTAAGTTATTTTGCTTCCTGCATTTGAGTTCACACCTCTGCACTCCACTCATTGTTACAGAGACACATATTTACAAGTCTGTGGACTCGACTGGAAGAATGGACACAAAATACTTTTTTCTCTAATTTGGTGTTTCTATGATAGTAGCTTAGTTTGGAGATTTTACTGTAGCAAAGTCATGTGTACATACATAAACTCTTGTATCCATCTGTGTATAATCAGGTTTGTAAATCTGTAAAAACATGTGTGTGTGTAGATATTATCTGCTGGACAGTCTTAAAGCTTTGCTTGATGAACTTAAAATACAGACATGTGATCAAGTTACAGCTCACCTGCTTTCCAGTTGTCTGTTTTCTTATCTGTGACCTCGGCTGCACTTCTGCTGTGACAGATCCACAAAGTTTGTAGAGTTTTCTGAAAATCAAGGGTTCATTAACCCTGAGCTCAGACTCACAGGCTCAGGCTTTCTGTCACACTCAGAACAAACCACCAGGTGGCGTATTACTCACTCATTTAAGTGACGTTATTTAGCTGCAGGTGGTGGTTGTGTCGATAGAAACCAGGCTCACCTGCTCACAACTGCAGTATGAAATAAAACTGCAGCTGGAACATCTGTGTGACAGATGTGGTGGGTTTTTCCTTCTTCCACTAAACGGGCCACAACAATACCCTCATATTTTTCTAACTTACAGAACTTAAATTCAAGGCCACTCTGACAGCAGACAGCACAACCACACCAGCAGGGGGCAGTGTGACGCTGACCTGTGAGGTGAAGGATTTTGCTGACATAGAATACGAGTTCAGAAAAACCTCATCTAAAAAATTAGATCATCTCTTTTAGCTCTAAGAGTGCCATCTCTGTCTCTGATGGAGGCATCTACACCTGCAGAGGAAGGAGAAGAAACACGAATTTTGTCACAACTAAAAGCGATTCAGTCGTCATTCAGGAAACTGATGAGTTTGACTAATTCTTTGAGAATTGAAAAAGGTCTTCTCCCAGTTGTAGAGGAAATCAGTATTCACTAATCACCAGCACTTAAAGCACTAAATCTGTCACATTATTAATTATTAGGCTCAGTACATCGTTTCACCTTTGTTCAGTCTTCAGATCACTTACAGACACAGAGGAGTTCATGGTGCTGTTTTGTCTTTTTAGAGTGATTTAAAAAACAGTTTGTGCTCCTTTCCTGGTTACTGAACCTTTACTCTTAGTTTTTCTTTGCCAGTCTAGTTTTGACTTTGGTGCCACATAAAAACTTTGTATTTCACATTTCATGAACTAATAATCAGTTTATGAGAGCAGAGCAGCCTCCAGCTTTGAATCCATCACTGGAGGTTTAACAGCGTTGTTAGCAAACAAGAGCTAACTGATGACTCATGGATTATATGTTTATAAATGTGTAATATGTAAATGTAAAGATGTAGAAAAAAGGAAATAGTGGAATATAAAGATCATTAAATTACCTGGTTTAATTAATTTTTTAAAAATGCATTCTTGATTTTCAAGTCAAAATGATCAGTCTGCTAATGATATATTTTAATTTGATCAGCTCCTCCTAAGCTCACTGTGTTCCTGCAACCATCCTGGACTCAGTTAAACAGCGGTGTGATATACAGCGGTGAGACAGTCACTGTCAGATGTGAGATTCAGGGAGGTGATGGAGCTCAGTGGATGTATGAATGGAGACCAGACAAGTTAAACACACCTCCAACATCCAGTGAATATACAATCAGCAGAGCTGCTGAGTCTGCCAATGTCCTCATATCACAAAAGAAATGCAGTCATGCATTTATGTCTTTAGTAATAATTAATACAACAAAACTTTTTTTATTGCTGATTTTCAACTCATATTGTCTACAGCATGCAAAATTATGATTACCATTAACAAGAGCAATAAAAACTGGGACAGCTTTAATAATGATTTTATATTTAAGTTTGTTAATGATGTATTTTTAACAGCTCCTCCTAAGCCCACTGTGACCCTGCAGCCATCCTGGACTCAGATATACAGCGGTGAGACAGTCACTGTGAGATGTGAGATTCAGGGAGGTGAAGGAGCTGAGTGGACGTATGAATGGAGTCCAGCCAAGTTAAACACACCTCCAACATCCAATGAATACAGAATCAGCAGAGCTACTGAGTCTGATGTTGGAGGATACAGCTGTCGGGGCAGACGAGGTTCTTCCTGGACAGACTGGAGTGATGTCATCACATTGACTGTATTACGTAAGTTGAACATATTTCTCTCATTTTAATTTCAAAAGAAAACAAAATAATTTCAGCAGTACTGTGTTTCTTTTTTAGTTTAGTGTCTAAAGCTTTGTACAACAGTGTTTAATGCCATTATAATACCATTCAGTAATCACTCACAGTGAAACATCTGGAATAGAAAAAAATCAAATATTTTCACATGAAATAATTAACTTTCAAAACTGAATGTGAGCTACTGTCCTCCAAATAAACTCAGACAAAACTTTAAATGTTGTTGTTGAAACACTTTGGCTGAACAGACGCTGAACAGATGCTGAACAGATGCTGAACAGATGCTGCCATCAGCTGCTTCTCTGCTGGAACATTTCAGACAATAGCAAAACAAATCAGGAGTAAAAGAAACTCAGCTGCATTACTGTCATGTCCTCTCTAGAAGGCAGAGACCACACAAAGTGAGTCAGAAACAGAAAACTCAGGGTTATGGATTGTTGTCATTCACTCTGCTGATTCTAAATATCATCAAATTACCTGTTTTAAATTTTCAAAAAAAAAAACAAAGATTAAAAATGATAAATATCATTAACAAGTGTAATAATAATTATGATGGATTGCATTTATATAGCGCTTTTCGAGAACCTCAAAGTGCTGTACAATTCCATTATTCATTCACTCTCACATTCACACACTGGTGGAGGCAGCTACAGTTGTAGCCACAGCTGCCCTGGGGCAGACTGAAAGAAGCGAGGCTGCCATATCGCGCCATCGGCCCCTCTGGCCAACACCAGTAGGCGGTGGGTGAAGTGTCTTGCCCAAGGCCACAACGACCGAGACTGTCCGAGCCGGGGCTCAAACCGGCAACCTTCCGATTACAAGACAAACACCCAACTCTTCAGCCACGATCGCCTCGACAGCCAGGACAGCTTCAACTATGATTTTCTATAATTCTGCTAATGATATATTTTTATTTGAACAGCTCCTCCTAAGCCCACTGTGACCCTGCAGCCATCCTGGCCTCAGATATACAGCGGTGAGACAGTCACTGTTGAGAATAAAAAAATTGAGTCTTTAAAGACAAAGACACTATTTTACACTATTTTACATCTTATGTTCTCACACCTGGATTCATTGGTACCACAGAGACCACGTTAATATTGCAAACTATGCCGATCCTAAAAACGCTGAGCAGACATGGATAAATATTCTGCTTAGATGTACTGTTTTTTCATTTTTTTAAAAAATTTTGCACAAGACCCATGACATGTGTACAAACCATTTATTACATTTTTATATTTTTAATGATTGAAATTTAAATTCTTATCTATAAAATGGTGCAGAAGACATTTTTACCGATCGAAGGTTTGTAATTGTAATTGGAAACTGAATTTCCCGGAGGAACCCACCCGAGGGATTAATAAAGTTTCATCTAATCTAATCTAATCTAATTATGCTATTAAATAGTGGCAAATATGACCTAAATAATTCTTTGGATATACATTTTTAAACAAAGTAAAGCCAATTAAAATATGTCTCTGTGCTGAGCCTGGTGGAACTTAAAAGGTTTTAATTCTTTCAGCTGACTGAAAGCTCTCACCACCTGCAACAGTCAGAGGCAGCTTCTTGCAGAAACCTGGTTACAGCAGAGGTCTTGCATCTGTTTGAACCCTTTTATATGCCAGCACCTCACTGTTGATATTTATGGCAGCTCTGAACTATAATTATTTATAGTGGATCTGTCTCCTCCTGTGCTTGTTTATCATCCCCTCAAGTTAAACAAGGATTTTATTTCCACCCTTTTCTTTGGAATCATATAAAGATTTGACAGCATTCTAACTCTTGGGGATTTTAATTTGTATGTTTGCTGCCCATCAAACTCCTAAAACCCACCCTTCCAACAGATGACACCAAAGGAGTTTTACAGTCTCTGTAAAAGTTTTGCTAGACTGCTGTGATGACATAAAATCATGGTTGCCAATAAATTTTTGGAATGTAAACAATCAAAAAACAGATTGTATTATTTGAACCTTCTGACCCTTGTTTTGCTCTTAAGTGTAACCTTGTTCTTCTGAAAAAGTTCAGAACTCCCTTTGTAAAAACTCTGGGGGTGATCTTTGATGACAGTCTCTCATTTGAGAAATAAATAAATTCTGTTATAAAAGCCAGACTCTGCCTCCTGAGGGACTTTGCAAAAATGAAGGACGTTTTGTCATCTGCTCACTTTGAGAAAGTAACTCATGCATTTATTTCATCCAGGCTAGCGTAATATGCTTTATTTTGGTAGCAGTCAGGCTATTATGATTGTTTAATCTCTGATCTTTTAACTAAACAAACTCCAAACAGAACTCTAAGGTCAGCTGATAAGTTGCTTCTGGTCATGAAAATAGGAAGGGAGAGGCAGATTTTCTTCTTTGTTGAAAAACAAAAACAAAACTAACACTATGAAATATAAGCATTTAAAAATACCGTGTGAAGCAAACATTATTTTGTGGTGATATATTAATAATTTTTATAAAAAACTAGTTACCTGTTATTTTCTAGGGCCCCTGTCAGTCACAGGCTCTTAGACTTGTCATCAGTTTTCTTCCCCTGCCTAGATTACTGCAACAGTCTCAGCAAACAATCAGCTGAATGACTGCAGACCAAACAGATTTAAGCTGCCAGGATTTTAACTCAGCACATCACATCACATAGGATCCCAGCACTCCCATTTTTTATACTGGCTCCCAGTATGTTTTAGAACTCACTTCAACATTTTCTTGATTGCTTTGAAAGAGGGTCATCAGTGTTCTGGTTATCCACACTGATTTTAACCTCAAAGTAAAATTAAAGCAGAAAAATCTGTGAGTTTTGGAATATAAATAAAATATAACTTTACAAAGTAAATTCTTCATCATATCTTTATTTACTTTTTCCTTTATATGAAAAAAAAACAACGAAAAAAACTAAAACAAAAGACAAAAACAACTACCACAACAACAACAGAGAGAAAAAAAACCCCAAAAAACAAACAAACACAATAAGCAGTCTAAACGAAAAACGAATACAGTATATATAATTCGGTCTACCAGTCATTTACACATTTGTCCTGACAAACTCAACCCACCATTGGAGTGGGGCTGCCCCTCTCACTATGGTTTTCTTCGGATCATCAGGTAAGTAATCCAATAGCGGGCGCCATATATCCAAAAAAATATCTTCATTGGCACTTAATTTTGCACTCAGTCTTTTCCATTGGTAAAACTCTAAAAGATTTCTTTATACCACTGAGTTATTGTTGGTGGTTTTTCATTAATCCAATTGAAAAGAATACATTTTCTTGCCAAAAACAATAATTTACATAATAGTATATATTTGTTTTTATCTGGAAACAAAGTAAATTCTAATACATCTTATATTAAAGTGTTGTGTTAAGGTGTGAAAGCTATAAATTGTTTTATTGTGACTTTGTTTTGATTTTCAGACTTCAAACTGTCTACTCTTAGATATAAGGAAGCAGAGTTTTCATGTTTCTCTTCTCATAACTGGATCATTGTTATTTGATCAGCTCCTCCAAAGCCCACTGTGACCCTGCAGCCATCCTGGACTCAGATATACAGCGGTGAGACAGTCACTGTCAGATGTGAGATTCAGGGAGGTGAAGGAGCTCAGTGGACGTATGAATGGAGTCCTGCCAAGTTAAACACACCTCCAACATCCAATGAATACAGAATCATCACAGTTACTGAGTCTGACAGTGGAGGATACAGCTGTCGGGGCACAAGGAACTATTTGTTAACAGAGTGGAGTGATACCATCACACTGACTGTATCATGTAAGTTGGAGATGTTTCATCCAGATTATCTGTTTTATCAAAATAAGTGAAAAATTTGTTTTTCTTACAGCTTTGTATCTGTTTCTTTCCTGCTTTTGAATAAAAGACATCACTGTCAAAGACTGGAAATAAAAATTCATCTCTTCCCCTCACTCAGGTTTCTCTTGCTCGCTGTATTTACACTGATTGGCTGTTACTGGTACATTTGATAAAGGAACAATTCCCCAAAGGAAAAGTACAAAATGACACCAATGAAATGATAACTGCTCACACTTCTTTAGGAGCAATTCTCAAATGTGCAAAATACAATCAGATCATGTAAACCTGGGTTACTTTCTTATTGTTGATCAGTAAACTAAGTCATGTTTCAAATTAATTATTAGAACTAGGGATGCAACGATACCAATTTTTTCAAACCGATACGATACCGATACTTGGATCTGAGTACTTGCCGATACAGAGTACAAAAAAAGATACTTCTACCACACACACACACA